TGCTTCTTTGTCTATTCAAAACCTACTCATTTTCAATGTCCAGCTTAAATCCAATTTTCTCCACAAATTTTCTAGAACCAGTCCAATCAACTCACCCATCTCAAAGTCACTATTATTCTTATTTAAGTCCTTAAGTATATATTGCCTTATATCAGTCCCTCTTTGTATCTTTGTATTTTGTGCATTTTTCTCACCTCTTCAAATAGAGATTCATAGTTGTTAAAGACTTATTTTTCCTGTGTATGCCACACAATGCAATTCCAAATTTTGAGTCATATTGTAGGTGCCAAATAAATATCTGATCACTGAGAAGATGTTCTAAACATTGTAGGTCCATAAACCATGTGAAATATTTATTTACCTATATACTAGCTATACATTTCAAAACTGATGTACAAAATTATATCAACATACTTTTGATGAGAACTAGAAGGTACAAATGCTAAATTTTATGAAGGAAAGAATCTGTAAATCCAATATATTTCTGTGTTTCGTATCAAAATGTGTTACATATGTTTTTTCACTTTCTTTCCATAGGCAAAAATCAGCAGAGGTGTTTAAAAAGAAGTTAAAAGCATTTTCTGACCTACAAAACTCCCTACTAGCCTTTCTGTTATTCTAACCCATCCTTTATTCTATTATTGGTACAACAGAGTCGTTAACATACTAAACTTTTCACAAAATATTAAGAAAATTAACATAAAAATACTAATAAAATAAGATTTAGTAATATATGCTACCAATTTGTCTTCCAGGATTAATATCTGATTCCATTTACATATTAGACATACCTTTGTGGGTAAGTCAACGACCAGGGAAACAAAGGAAACCTTAATCCAGTTCTTCTTTCAGAGGTTTTATTTTTATTTTCCTACTTCTAAACAAAGATAAACTTTTCTAGAGTTCCTCTGCAAACTCCATCTCATTTTCCCTTCTTCATATCCCCAAATATGAAGAGGAAAATGAATGTGGTAGTGGTAATTGTAGTTGCTCTGTGTTGAGGATTTGATTCCACGGTGCCCATTCTCACCTGTCCTGGTTGTCCAAGTTTACCTAATTCTAATGGTAAGATTGTTGCCACTGGTCAGGAGTATGGAATATTTTAGTAATGTCAATCTCTTTAAATTTACCCAAATCAAGTCAACTGCATATAGTTTTATCAAAGAAAATCAGGCAAGCTTATGTAATCTGTTTATATGTGTTGTAATGTCAGAATACCTTATTAAGAGGGTAGACTTTCAATGATAGAGAACTTTGTTTCAACTGTACTTTGATCATAGTCATGTCAAAACACAAACACACACACTGTGGCAGCCATGGAGATGTGCTACACATATCTGTCTTCAAGAAAAAAACTTGTTTTTCAGCTTCAAGAAATGCAGTTACATACAGCTCCCAGATGTTACTGCCTTCAGTGTCTACCTCAGCTTTCCAGCAGAGGCCACGCTCTTCCCCAACATCCCCCAGCCAGTGATTGAGTGTGCTGCAGGTACCAGGACCTACTCATTTCTGCCCAATGTCAGACTCCCAGAAGGCCTCTTTGATCTAGAGCCCCCTGTTGGTTTGTCGGATACTGACTCGCATCTGCATCACAGCCTGAGGCTCTTCCTGCCCTATCTCCCCTTCCTCTGGTTTCCTTTGCAGGTGTAAGATTGACTTCCTCCTCCCTTTGTCTTTCATGGGCATTACCTCCAATAATCTTCTTGGACTGCTAATTGTCTCTCAGCATCTTCTCCTTCAAAGGACCCCAACTGATGCACACACCAGTATTTAACATTTTACCTTATAGTACTTGAGTTAAAAATGTGTGTATAATATTTTTACACACACATATTTACACATAGTCTCATGTACAGCATGAAGCAAAATGAGTACTTTTTGGTTTTTAGGGCTATCTAACTCATCTCAACCTTTATGTAAGTTACTCCTAAATTTATGACGCTTTTATTAGGAAAGAAATTATGTCACCTCAACAGAAACTAGATCATAGTGTTCAGATCTGGATAAAGGAAACACAATAAGCAAACACCTTGCATTATACAGAAGAAGGTCTGCAGAGTGTTATTTCTTGTAATCACTAGCTATTTTTTAGGTTTTTGTTGTTGTGTTTTTGTTTTTACTTTTGTAGGTAAATATGATGCAGTAGATTTTCATTAGGTTCATAATAAAAAAAATATATTTATTCCCACAGGTCCCTACTGAGAAAATTATTCTTTTTGCTCTGAGCTATAGCCATTGTTATTATGAGAAAACTGAAATATACAATATTAAGACAGTTCTGTTCTTCATAAATAGCAATTATTAAAAATGACACAGGAGAATTATGCACTGAACAGAGATCTTGATTAGAAACAGCTATTTTAAATAGAGTGATCAAACTAGATATTTTAAATAGGATGATCAGGGTAGGTGATCAGGAGAAACGTAGTCAAATGAATGTTGTCCTTCAAAGCAGTCATTTTGGGAAAGTATAAGTCATTCTGATGAAGTAATTTTTGATGAGATAGTTTTGTATGTCACTTTGGGAATTAGTTTACAAAATGTTCAAGACGACAAGTAACATTACTATATATTTACACATTTTTTTAAAAATCCTCAATTATCTGCTATTCTCAAATATCTGTTATCATAACCCTTTTTTTTGGAGTAGTTCCCAAGTAGTTTCAAAAATGAAATACCCCTTCAAAGAGTGAAGATATGCCACATTGGAAGACATGTTTAAAATACAGTTTCCAAAACAAATCTTAGAAGAGGAATTTCAGAAGTTTCAAACAATGGCAAAATCACTTAAATGAGTTAATACTTCCCAATTATCAAGTTTGAAGGGACAACCTGTATGGTTTTTTCCTCTGCTAACATTTAATCTTCTTACCTCTTAGTGATGAACCATTTATTTTCAGACTCCACTCCAAATATTTAGAGCACAATTTTTCCAAAATACTGTTATTCAGAAGATGTCTAAGCCCTTGAATTTACAAACAACAGTCTATGAATCTGTGCCAAATTTGGTCCTTTCTTAGAAGTAACATTATTTTAAGATTCCCTCTATCATTGGGCTAACACAGGATTAGATTGTCAAATCAGACTAACATGAATCAGAGACTTTAACTAGTATCACAATCTACTAAGTAATTTCAAATAAAAGGATCAGACAACAGAGAAAGGACTGGGATGTCAAGAATGGCTCCTGAAGCCCTTCTTTGTTGGGTCTGGAATGCCCTTCGTGTTAAGAAGGGATGAGGTCTCTAAGGGAGGCTCAGAGGATTTCATAGCTTGAGACATTCTCCAAGCCTGAAGCTCGTCTTCCTAGTTTTGTTTGCCATAGGTAATGCTTAGCCTGACATAATACTGAGGGCATTTTAGAGATAAGGCTTTTCCTTCTACCAAATATCATCAATCTTTTTTCCCTAGAGTCTAGTCCGTGAAAAGAAGCTCCCTTAACTCCTTCTTCCTGATTACTTAGCATAATGTTAAGAGAGGGAAGAAAAAAAAGAAAACTCTTGAAATACAGTCTTCCCATGGTGTTACCAGATCTTGAGGTATGTGATGGAAAAAAAAAAAAACAACAACAGTTGATACACATCAATTAACCAAAGATGGTAGGGAGAAACTCTGATTACCAGTGGTCTGGTAAATAAAAATCACTGTCTGAGTACATAAGCCAATAATGTGTTAATAATCTATGACAGACTGTGGTTCATCAATAAAAATGTCAGCATAATATGTCTGGATGTCAACATGTGTCACTAAAAAACTTTTATAGCAACGTCTACTCTTATAGCTATACTGGATATTAATAAGAAATAGGAAGTTATTTATCTCATTGAAATCTTGCGAAATTTCTTGCAATGACTTTTAAGTTCCTATAAGGTCTGTTCAGACAACACCCAAAATTGTTCTTTCTCTGACTTTATTTCACTTATTCTATTCTGGCCACATGTACCTCAAAAGCATCTTGCGCTGCCTGTTTCCCTCTGCATAAACTGCTCTTCCTCTGAACATGTGCACAGACACTCCCTCGGGCATTTTTCAGATGGAATTTTCTCGATGGACCTACTTTATCATATTTCTTAAAATAGTAACCCATTCCTATTCTCAATTTCACTTAACTTTGCTTTACTTTTTTGTGCATTGTACTTAATACCTTCTATTATATCTTAAAATTAACTCACTCATTTTATTTTTGCCTCCATCAATAGAATATACATCAATATATATATATCAGACACTTGAGACAGTTCCTGGCAATAATAGGCACTCAATAAATACTTCTTCAATGAATATGTCTGAAGACAACAATAATACAATAAACACAGAGATGAAAAAAAGGAAGCACTGAAGAATTTTGAATCTAGTTGAATATAAGAACATGAAATGTTCAGTAATTAACTAAATTTAAACAGTAGTTTAAAATCATATAGAAGAGGGTCTAGATGTCAAGGGTTCAATGCATTGATCTCAATCTATTTGTGATAAAATAAGGCAGCTTAGAATGAAAAGTAATACGTAAGCCATGTGAGTGTTTTGGCTTGGTTCTAAATCCAAGCTCTACCACTTCTTATCTAGATGAATTGATCAAGCCCTTTGATTTATCTTATCCTTGGCCAATTTATCTATAAAATAGGACAATAATGCCTGTTTTACAGGTTTCTTGGGGCTGCTCAGATTAGATAGTTCATATAAAGTATTGATCCTATCAAATGATTTAATAAAATGGTGACATTGTTAAGATTTTTGGAAAGAAATACAGAGCGAAAAGATCTCACTATCTAATGCCGCAACATTTTATAGACTTATTTATGAAGAGTTGTAACTCCTTTACTTTGTTCATAAACAATCTCTCCACAAAACAGAAACTCAGCTACATTTGTAGTTTAAATTTAGTCCCATACCATAAAAGGTCATGCAATTTCTATTAATATTTTTATTAATAAAAATATTTAATATTCCATATAGCCACCCTCTCTTCTGTTTCTAACAGGCAAAAATGTATGACTTACATATCCTTGGGTCACAAACAAGCAAGGATATCCCTTATTTCATGCAGACACAGTTTCTTGGGGCAATGTCCTGGTCACTGCAGCTCTAATGGCCTTTGATAACCCAAGCTCCCCTTGGAATCCCCATGGTTGGCTCTTGGCTTGTGTCCTCATCATTGACCACTGACCCTTGAGTGTTTACCATCTACTCCATCCAGCCTCCTAGCCTGGAATTTTCCACCTGCCTCTGCTATGGGGTCACCTAAACTCACCAGAAGCTTCCTGATACAAAGCCAGCTGACACAACATACGGAGAGTTAACTGGGTACTCACTCTATCAGACTGTACACCACTGTCCTCTAAAGTGAGTTTGTTATACCTTCTTGGTACAAAGTAAGTTAACCATATACACTATACCAGTTTGTCTAAAAAATGCTGGGTTTTATGATCTGGCCCAGTATGATTTCTTTTACTCTCAAAAATGCTGCATTCTGGATAGCACATTGGATTGTCACCCAATAAATGGGTGAGCAGTAAAAAGGTCCTTCTCTTGCTATCCCACTTACTTATCTAAAATACCTGTGCCCAGCACCACTCCTTGAAAGACAAAAGCACAGAGAAAGAAATTAAGATACAAAAGCTGGGCTGCTTAACTTGCCTCCCTGAGGTCCTCCTCTTCTCTCCTCCCTCTTCCAGACTCCAATCTCCAGCTGAGCTTTTATGATAAACAGAAGTATTTCTTCCACATTTCAGAAGACATCTATGAGCTAAGTCCTTCAGGCTGGATTGCTGGTATAATAATGAAGTAGGTAAACAAATGTTGCTGAATTCCTTCTGTAAATAATAGCCTAGCAAAGTCTGTACTATTGCATAATCTTGTTTTTGCATGTGAAAAGCTAACATTTGGCTGTATGCCTTGCTTTGCCAGGGCTTACTCTGCCTACTGGGTCATATTCCAGGGGCTAAGACTATAATACCTGTGTTACCCACCTTAAAGAGTTCCCTTTTATTAATTTCCTCTTAATGACTTTTTCTATCTTAGATCAATCCAACTGAGATCTCTTTCAAAGAGATTAACTTCAATTACTTAAATCCCAAAGGTAAGAAAGAGTGCTCCCTACATTATAAAGTGAATATGTATTAATGGAAAGATGAAACCAGAACTCAACAGGAGTAAAATTATAAAGAAAACAACAGTTTGTCTCCAGATTGCTTCCACCTTTCTGGTCAGCATCTTCCTCCCCACTGAGGCATGCTCATTTCCAAATGTCCTTCCTACCATTCCTCAGACAGGTTATTCTTTTCCTTAAGCCATGTATTTTGCTCTTGAAAAATATTATTGGGTTCCATTTTATCTTTTACCAATATCTGCTCCCCCAAAAAGAAATAACTGGGGTAAATCTAACAAAATAACATAGTCTATGTACAGTATATTAAATGTCAAGAGAAATATATAATTTTAATAAAAGACAACATGGGGATTTTAGAAATTTATTTTTAAAAATCTGGTTTCTTAGAAAATTGTTTTTGCAAATGTAGTCCACTTGAGTAATCTTTCTCAAAAAGGCAGAAATCCAGGGGCCTTGGGCATTTCTGTAAAAGGATTATATCTGCATAACAACTTCACAAATCATGCAAACATAACACACACATACACACAGTTACATAATTACATATCTTTACGCACAAAAAAGGGAGCTGAGTTCCATGTGCCAAGCATTGTGATTACATACATTAATAGATCTAGATATAAGTCTAAACAATAAGAAATTAATAATTACTGGCCGGGTGCGGTGGCTCACACCTGTAATCCCAGCACTTTGGGAGGCCAAGGCCGGTGGATCACAAGGTCAGGAGTTGGAGACCAGCCTGGCCAAGATGGTGAAACTCCGTCTCTACTAAAACTAAAAAATTAGCCGGGTGTGGTGGCACGCGCCTGTAGTCCCAGCTACTCGGGAGGCTGAGGCAAGAGAATCCCTTAAACCCGGGAGGCAGAGGTTGCAGTGAGCCGAGATCATACCACTGCACTCTAGCCTGGGTGACAGAGCGAGACTCCATCTCAAAAAAAAAAAAAGAAAAAGAAAAAAATTAATAATTACTAACATTTTCCAAACACTTAACATGCTTAGCATGGTCATGATATACTTTTATGAGGTGATGCCATTGCATTTTTATAACAAATCTACGGGATAGATACCACTGCTATTTATACTTAACAACTGAGGATAAAAAGACTGACAGAAGTTAAATAACTAGCTCAGGATCACACAGCTAATAAGCCACCCACCCAGGATTTAAACCCAGGCTTTCTGCTTCCAGAGCCTGTACTCCCCACCACTAAACTATACTGCTTTCCAGAAAGGGAAAAAGAATAAGAAGCAGTCAGTCTAGGAGACAAATATCATGTGCAGGGCTAGAATGCACAGCAGGTAACACACAACCAAGATTCTGAAAGAACTTTCAGGTGAGGAAGCAAGCCTAACATAGCAGTCAAGCTCCCCTTTCAGTAATTCAGCTCTCAGCTCTCCTGTTCTTAGAGTCCAAGCCCCAGGTCACTGGTAATGAGAGAATATTGTGGTAGACATTGTCCTTTAGCCAACTCAGAAGTCATTTTCCAACTGCCTTATCCATTGCTGCCCACTTTAGAATTCAGAAAGCTGGATACTCACTTTCCCAGACTCACAGTCATGGGTAGCCATGTGACAGAGTTCTGACCTTAGAGCCATAGGTTGAAAAGCAAATACCAGTTTATAGTTTCCAGGAAAAAATGTATTTCTTGACAAAAAAAAAAAAAAAACCAGAAAATGGCACATTTCCTAGCTCCCTCCAGCCTTAAACATGTGCGTAAAGCCAGGAATTGCAGCAGCCACCTTAAGCCTATGAAATGATAAACTTAAAACTAAAAATTACAAGATGAGGATGGTGGAGCAGACATACAGCAAGGATATGGATTCTGGATGACACCAGAGGGAGGCTGACACCACCCACCTCACCTGCCTAGAGAGTTGTTATGTGAGAAAAAATAAACTACATTTTATTAAGCCTCTGTTTCTAGCTGAATATATTCCTAACAGGCATAGTCCTTAACAAATTGGATCAATCTTTATTTCATTTTGTCACTCTAGGATCAACGGAGTTTCACATAAATGATTAATAGATTATTATATCTGCTGCCCTCTTTTTTCCACTGGGTAGAGCATTTTGTGAGATTAAAGATATGTCAGTAAGCACAGAAAAACTTTTGGCACTTATGGATTCTCTATTTTTTAATAAGTCAATCTTAGACATATTTTATGGACCTATTTGTACTTCTTCTCCCACAAAGCCTTTCGATTTTTTTCCCCCATCATTTTAAAATTGTGAAAATCAAACAGGTTTATGCCACCTTTCAAAATAAAAAGTAAGGAGTAGGTCTTTTCTTTGAAACCAAAAATAACTGAAGATGTCATGTTAAAAATTCCAGATACTTAGGTCACCATGATGATTCAGTTGTTCTAGTATATAAACTATCTCATTATTACTTGCAAATATTAAGCATCTACTATGCGTTCATCCTTGGGCTAAGCCATAAATGTAATAAAAAAGATTTACAGTCTGTAAAATGATTTTGCTATTTTGTGGCCTGTTCATGTATGTTACGTTGCCTCATGTTAGATGGTGTGGATTTCCGGAACAAAGGTTCTAAAACATCAGGAACCACGGAGTCATTGAAGGCACTTATTAAGGATGCAGGTTTCTCGCCTCAGTCTCTAAATTCTGATTCAGTGAGTCTGTGGTAGAATCTAGTAATCTGCTTATATAATAAGCACCCTGAGAAATTATAATGGAATCAGATCAACAGGATATATCATTTGAACAACTGTTCTGAAGAGCAAAACAATCTTTCCAGTTCTCTTTGCTTAGGATGATCACTGATTCTTGGTTTACCAATTGCTGATGAAAAGTGATGTAGGATTTATATTAGGTTGGTGCAAAAGTAATTGCAGTCTTTGCATAGCTTAAAAAAAATGGCAAACACTGCAATTACTTTTGCACTAACCTAATACATATAATTTTAAATAAATGAAAATATGATGTACAGCCATCCCTCAGTATCCATGGGGGATTGGCTCCAGGACCTCTGGAGGATTCCAAATTTCACAGGCACTCAAGTCTCTTACATAAAATGGCTGAATATTTGCATATAGCCTATGCACATCCTCTCATATACTTTATCTCATCTCTAGATTACTTGTAATACTGGAGACAATGTAAGTACTATGTAAATAGCTGTTACACAATATTGTTTCAGGAATAATAAAAAAAAGAAGTCTGTTCATGTTCAGTATATATGCAAATTTTTTTAAATGTTTTCAATCTGCAGTTGGTTGAGTTCATGGATGTGGAACCAAAAAATAAAGGGTTGACTGTATATAATCAAGTGTAAAGAGTTTTTGCTTGTTTCTTTTTGCTGTAAGGATGTTTTCACAGAGTTTCTATTATCATACCCTACTACTTTTGAAAGATGTTACCTATAATAAATGTCATAAAAAAGTTTAGAAACTTTACGACATTCTTATATACTTATTGAAATTTATGATCTTCACCAATATTTGTTTGTAATGCTAGTTATATTAAATTGACTTTATCATGAGCAAAATATGTTTTAATCCTTTCTATTCGAGATCATAATTTAATTCATGTCTCTCTAGCATTCATTCGCATATAGACTATTTCACGGATAAGTTTGTAGTTCAAAATTCACATTAGAATTGCCATAACAGCATTGGATCACAATCTTCTTCAACGGTCTTCCAAGTGGTAGAATTTTTGAGGGTAGTGTCAGGCCTCTGAGTCCAAGCCAAGCCATCACATCCCCTGTGACTTGCACGTATATGCCCAGATGGCCTGAAGTAACTGAACAATCACAAAAGAAGTGAAAATGCCCTGCCCCGCCTTAACTGATGACTTTCCACCACAAAAGAAGTGAAAATGGCTGGTCCTTGCCTTAAGCAACAATATTACCTTGTGAAATTCCTTTTCCTGGCTCATCCTGGCTCAAAAAGCTCCCCCACTGAGCACCTTGTGACCCCCACTCCTGCCCGCCAGAGAACAACCCCCCTTTGACTGTAATTTTCCTTTACCTACTCAAATCCTATAAAACGGCCCGACCCTTATCTCCCTTCGCTGACTCTCTTTTGGGACTCAGCCCACCTGCACCCAGGTGATTAAAAAGCTTTATTGCTCACACAAAGCCTGTTTGGTGGTCTCTTCACACAGAGATGCGCATGATAGGTAGAACATTTTGTCTTTGTTTCTTTTATTTAGTTACTCTTCTTCCTTTTCATTTACTTTATGTGATTTGATGAGTTTTTATCATTGAGTCTAAAGTGAACTATTTAGTTATGATTGTAAAGCACTTCACATAATTAAAAAAATAGAAAATTTTCTCCACATGATGGAGAATGAATGAAATGTTTTAACATTTAGTATTACTGAAGTCAAAAGCAGGGTAAGTTAAAGAAGAGGAATTGAATAAAAATTCTTGACTTTCAGTGAAATGTATACTAACAGATACATCAGAAGCATATCTTATTGGCCTGTGAAACTAAATATTTCTACTTATCTCTTTATCATCCCCTTTAAATAAGTATGCCTTCC